CATCTCTTATAATAACTTTTTGTCATTTACACCATTATACTATTTATGCTTCCAGGGGTTTCTAAGTTCCGTTGTGCTGTCATTAAACTGTCATACGTACAGTTTTTCGTTTTTCCCATGCTTATCTATTTATTACACCTCATTTCTAAAATTAATATTGTCTGCAATGTTTATCTGTCGATTTTGTACCTCATATGGTCCTATTCTGCTCCCATTATGATATAGTACTAGAATTCGTAGCACGTATTTCTTATCCAGCGTCGAGCGGGTGACCCGCAGCTAAAAAAAAAATCTATATATATTTAGTTCGTATGTATTGTATGTATGTATGTATCTCTCCCTATAGGCGGCAATACCGCCCAAGCGACTCTTGGATGCCCAATTGTTCACAGCCATCTTTATACCCGGGGAGTGGCTCCTCATAGATGAAAATAAACCTGTCAAACGCTCAAACTCACCGAAAAATCCTGCTGATACAACCCGTCAATTCCGTGAATTCTTCACACAACTCGTCAGCACTCTGACATGCTCATGCTGCCCACACAGAGAAAAATCGCGATTCCCTAACCTCATCCGGTGCTGCAGTTATTGTCGAAACCTTGAACCTAATACTAAAACAACACACACCAGCACCAGTTTTACATTCAGAGTACTACTCACGGTCAGCTCAGAGGGTTACAGTTCAGATGCTACGATCTCACAATGCATGCTTGTACATTCGAAAGCTATGCAGTTTCTGTTCAGGTAGGAAATTTCGTTCATTTCAATGTGCCATGGTTTGCGTGTCTCTGATCCTATGTTACTATGAGCAGCTGATAAGGACATAAATTTGTCATTATTAGTCCTCATGAACTCTATATTCTTTTATTCATGCTACGATCTCACAATGGGACAGCTGTTACGTGGGGATGTCTCAAGAGTTGAGACGCCAGAACATCTCTACATATTTGCCACCAGGAGAAGAGACGAAACGAAAAAATTCTTTATCAAGAGGCTTCACAATGAAAAGTACCAAACCATTTTCTACATGCTTTTATAATTAACTTGTGTTCATTTACACCATATTACTATTATTGTCCAGCGGGTCTCAGTTCGGTTGTGGCTTGTCATATAAACTTCATACGTTAACAGTTTTTTCGTTTTTCCCTGACTTATTATCTTATCTACCACCTCATTTCTTAAATATTAATATTGTCTGCCATGTTATTGTCGACTTTTACCCAATTGTCCTTATTCTGTCCATTATTATAGTACTATAAATTAGTTAGCACGATTTTTTACCCAGCGCCGACGTGGGCTACCCGCAGCTAGTAAGTAATAATACAATAATAACAATATTCTCTGTAGTAGTTTGCAGTAAGTATCACATTACGCCACGCGCAGGTAATCAAGTACATTAAACCCCTATCAGGCACGAATGATTTGGAAGCAGTGCGTTGCCTAAATTAATTTGGCGCCACTTATAGCTTTCAAAATTTGTCTTAACACTTCACACATAGCGCCATTTTTAGTGGTAAATTGTGCGAATTCAGCTCGTGCAAGATTACGATTTACAGCAATACGCTACCAAATATATTGTAAACGAATATCTGTTACACGAAGGTGAGTGATTAGTGGTCATGATAAGCGAGGAAATATACAACTGCTTCTTTATTGGTGGCAAATTTTGATGAGAAAAATCGGTTAAAAATGCGGGAATCGGGTGTCTCACTCTTGTGTTATTATCTACTCTTGATGTCCGCCATGCAGCATCATGTTTAATGATGTTCAAATTAATCCTATGATAATTTCCTATAACATTCGTGAATATTGCATACCTTCTGGAACAATTTGCTCATTTTGGGTTGGATCCCATCGTTGCTCCTTTCTTCTCGCTCCACTGATGATGACATAGTCACAATTCTGCAGTAATATATAACTTTGTATATTTGTATCCTTACACACATAGTGGCATTTTATATACTGTGAACTATTTATTGTAAACATTAGATAACATGCATATGTCCATTAGCCTTATGAGCATGATCGACCAATGTACTTTCAAAATTTATTGTTAGTTACGTCATTACCGCTGGATCAGTCTTGATTTCGAAATGCTGGTCGCAAAGATGGCACTTCATGCGAAATTTCCAGAGCGGTGTGGTGTAGTACATCCCGATTTTTGACTTCTCAGCATTGTAGCGGACTCCCATGCCAATTGGATTACCACATCCTTCACACCAGATGTTATAGGGCATCTCAAATCTAAAAAAATGTCCATATTATCAGGAGTAAGTCCTATATTATCCTTACTTACCTACAGTAATAATTATTTATATTAATTAATATATTACTTACAGTCCTATATTATCTTACTCCTGATATTATTAGAGCGAATGTTGGTTAATCTAGATTTTTAAATAATTTTAAATATGTTAATACATCTAAAAACACAATAAAATTGCATAGCATGTTTGTCTTATCGAATTCTAAGAGGTACATTACAAGCATCACATTTAATAAAAGTGATTAATTCCATGATATATGGACACCATTCTTTCGTGTTTAATATGCATACATGGCATCTGCTATCACAATGAATAAGTATAATATAATACATGATTGCATAGCTTATGAAAAAAGTTATTATTTATAGACTGTCATTAAATGTCCGACATTCTAACAAATACATGTACAGACAACATAAAAGTAGATTGGTGCTGGTAATGTATATTTACCTAATGATAAGAATGCCCTGCTTGATTTTCCTTGCACGTTCTCTGAGCGCATGTGTGCCATGGTACTCGTTAAGCGAATGATGTTTTTTATAGTCAAAGTCAGGTGGGTAGTAATGGTTCTGTCCCTTTCTCTCACCCTAATAGAAATTAAAACGAGAGAAAAGCTGGAATTATGGCTCAAACACATTATATAAGTAGAAATATAGTAATTCAGACAGGTCTATAAATTTCTTTCACTGCAGACTACTATACACAAACACGAACTAATACTGTTATAATAATAGTACTGATGGCTGAAAAGATAAACTTTGTCTCATTCGTTGTCAATCCTTGAGCATTATCCAACCCTACATCTTTATCGACATTGAGGGTACATGGTCATTAGCTCACGGGCCTAGCTAACTCAATTTGCTTGAGGTGGGTGGGTGTGTGGGGGGGGGGAGTAAAGCCACGTGAGATTTGTGCTCTTGGCAGTTGACTGTGGGCGATTGCTACCGTCTATGTTTGCGACAGGGTCAGGTTTTCAAGGTCCCCGAGGCGCCCCCTACCCAGTTCTGAGGCGAGTGCCCCCGGGGTTTATCTGAGCCACAAAGAATTCCCAGTCCCCAATTGTTCCGAGTTAGGTTTTTACACATTGAGAACATTTATTGAACGGACTGGGTCTTGCCTTGAACTCACACAATGTCTTTGTCATGAAACTGGAAGGTCACCCGGTGACCTGACATTACGAATCATAACTTGATCATCACATAGATCATCATAACTTGATCATCATACTTAGATACTATTCAAATTCAAATAAAGTTTACGAAGTGGCTACGCGACCGGAACCGGTCGCCTAGCCTCCAGGTTACGCGTCCGGACATCCACTCACACAGTGATCGCGCGACGGGACGCTCTGCTGCCGTACGTCTATCCTTTCATCCGTCCTCTCTCCCTCTCTCTCTCTCACACACACACACACGCGCGCACACCTCTCTGAGGCTCTCTCTCTCTCTCACACACACACGCACGCACACCTCTCTGAGGCTCTCTCTCTCTCTC